ATTTTAAAATAATCTGTAACCATCCTGTTTTGCAATTGATTGATTCTTCAACTGTTTTAAAGTCTGACAGTTGGGAAAATCTCCATGTACCATTTCTTCTGCATTGTGCCTGAAAAAGATTTAGCTGGTTATAAAATTCAGTAGTATACTTAACATGAAAATGTGATGAGTACTTAAACTATGGTATGTTTATTACTTTACATAAATCCTAAAATCAGAGGAATGGTTTACAACAAATTGCATCAGAGAAAGCGAGTGGTCAGATGTCTACCCAACTTTTCCTTACATTGGCAAATAATTTGATGGACACTTTTTTGATTTCAGAACTTGATAGTGATCTATTCAAGTTTTGGTGAATTTGCCTGTGTTCTCTGTAAATATCTACCCAAGCTTTCTGATATTTATTTTTAAAGAAAACAATTATATAACCTCAAGAAACAGATCAGCACATTAATTTCATGCTATGTTCTACTGATTTTAAAGGAAAGAAAAAGTAGAAGGTAGAGCTCAAGATATGAAAATACAACAACGTTTCATACTTTCAAATCAGGTCAGAAGCAGTTTTTCCAGACCATTTATGATAGACGCCAGTTTATTTTTCCCTTTAAAGATTTTCTTTGGTGTTTCATTTTGTTTAATAAGTAACCATTACTGATAAGAATTTCATTATAGGCAGTCTCATGCCTTATGCATTTCTGCTTGCTCTAATCTTAGCTTATACTGTTCCTCTAAGTATGAATTCCTGCCGGGGTCCAGCCTCGGCGTGGGTGGGTTATCTCGACGAAGGCGGCGAAGGTGAACAGAAGACAGAGGCCTCGATGCCTTTTTATGCACGTCCTTTGCCGGACACCCCTCAGAGGTGGCCCTCTGAGGAGTGACAACTGCTAGGAATTATTGTGCCTTTTTATTGAAAATGTATTACAAGTAAACGGGAGAGGGGCTAGTGTTTCAATTAATAGCTCATAAAGTTTTTAACAATAAAGAACATAGATTCTATTTAGGGTTGATTAAGGGTGGGTCTAGTGCAATTCAGGGTTTGATTAAGGGTGGGTCTAGTGCAGTTCCTCAATTGTAGGTGGGTCTCCATGGAATGCAGTTTCGGGAAAGCGGTTCCGGTAAGCAGAGATGATTATCGGCTGATGCGGTGCAGCAGCCATCTTGTGATTACTGGGAATGGTGCTGAGAAAAAAAAAATCTCAAGAATAGATATTAGTTTTTATGGATCTTAATAAAAAATGATACTTATACAGTTTTGTAGGGATCTATAACTTAATTTGAGGAATCCTAATATATTTATCTATTTCACTTGGAGAGGGCGAAAGTGTCCTGGGCCAGTTTTGGCCTAATCCTATTT